TGTATTCACTAGTTTTTGACTATTTGCATTTTGCTACATTTAAATTTACTAAGCCGTAAATGTTCGTAATTATTACTTCTACGTAATACTCCGAAATTCTATAGTGTAAACTTTCGTAATTATTACCCCTACGTAATACTCTGAACTAATTGTAAGTTTTTCATAAGTTTACGCTCGCGTAAAAACTTACGGAGTTTTATGTATATTTTTTTTTGCTGATGTAGTAAAAATGCTATTGAAAAAATCCTTTATTTTTGAAATGCGTCACTTATTTGTTAACTTTGAAACCCCATTATAAGGATACTATCAAATATAAATCTCAATATATACACAATTTTTACCAAGATGGTAAATAAAACTTTATTTCATATTTAATTAGAAGTCAATGGGCAAGAGTATCAGAATACCCTGATGGAGATGGTGAAGGTGAATAATTTTCATTACTATCATTACTATCACTATGATCATTAGATGTAAGAGAATAAGGATTTATTGTTCGGGCTCTTTTACCAGTTGGGTTCAATAGCAAGTTTTCGTTTACATTACCAACATAGTCTCTTAATATCGATGATTGTGAATACAATGCGGTATTGTGCCGATGTGATTTCTTAAATTCTTTGAGTAACTTAAAGAAGTTATCTAAACCTCTCTGTAAAAAATAATCAAAATAAAGCTTTTTAATATAAGGAATGTATTTACCCCAAAATTCCATAAAATTTTTAATGCATGTACCAATTCATAGTGCTTATCCCAATTAATTAGCAAATAGAATGTACTAATTAAAAACATTCTATAAATATTGGAAACGAGCAGATCCATTCCTCACACCTGCACCTATGTATAAATAAAAAATAATTTATTTATCTTATAAAATTAAGATACTGAGTTTATTTATCAACTTACCATGTACGTAAATTTCTCAAAATTTTGTAATCTCTGCGATTGTATTTTTTCACAATATTATTTAGAATATCGTGACACCCCCAACAACCTTTAACATGATCTTTTATATATTGAGACATGTCTGAAGTCAAATAACCACCTGATAACTCAACCATTCCAATTTCAAACTTTTTATTTCCTGGAGTATGAAATATACCATCTACTTTCATACCTAAAGGTTTGTTGTCTTCAGATTGTAAATTATGCCTTAATAATCTTTGATTAGTATTTGTTTTTAGATAAATTTCACCACTGTTTTATTTGTTTAAAAAAAAGTTTTTTTAATGCTTTCAAGAAAAAAAAATAAAAGGTAAATCAAATATAATTCTATATCAATATACGGAATATATATAATACGATCGGTTGTATTCATGAGATACTGCAATATTGGGTGAATCATTAATAATCCTAAAAGCGCCTTATTTTTATGTATATCATGAAAAGCTGATGCAGTATTAAATACATTATTGGCACTTCAAAATTAATTAATAAATAATCCAGATTCCGCCTCATTGATATCTGTTTCTACATTATTTAGTGAATAAAAATCTGAAATTTCATCTTCTCCATTATTAATTTCCAACTCTTTCAACTCTGTTGATTCTATATTGTTGTTATCTAAGCTTCCTTTTATCTTCAAATTTTCTTTATCGGCATCACATTTTTTTTTAAATTTTTTGGTTGGTTATATGCTTCCTTTTTCTGTAAATAAATTTAATATTATCACTTTTTTTTTGTCAAATAATTTTAACAAAATTACATATAAAATAATTGTAACACTCTGTATTAATATTTATCACACTATCTTCGGTTCCCTTTGTAATATCGTATGCAAAATTTATCTATATTTAAAAAATCATTAGACAAAAGCATGTGATTATGTGGTGTGATTAACCTTAAAGTTAATACTATTCTTACATCTTGACAATCATTATTGTTGATCTGAGCCGCAGAATCAGTTGCAAGCTGTTCTATCTAATTGATAAAATACTATTTAATGTTTTTGTCCTATAAATTTCAGAACAGGAACTCACCTGTAAATATCCAATTTTCACACATGCATTATGCAAATCTAGATTTGTATCTGAATTCTTTGGTGAAGACCAATTCTTGCAAATAAGGTTCAGAATTAATAATACTCATAAGAAATATTTCACAATTAGCAATATAAAACGAAAGCTAGATGTAAAAATAAACAGCTTGCACGAAGCGTCGAACTAATAAAAGCTCATCACTGCAGACAAAGAGTCCAGCTTGCACTAAGTGTCGAACAAAGAGTTCATGACTGTTCAAAGCTTATTTCTTTCAGACAAGGAGTCCCAGCTTGCACTAGGCATTGAACAAAGAGTTCATCACTAAAGACTAAGAGTCCAGCTTGCACCAGGCATCGAACAAAGAGTTCATGGCTGTTTCAGAATGAACTTTTAATTTACACAAATACAGTATACTTGCTAATACATTACCTTCCAGGTATCAAGAATTTCTTGTACTTTTGTTTTACGCAATATATCAAAATTAATACTTTTGCGAGATCTTTTCTTATATAATCAAGTATTTTCTTCCTTTCTTTTTCCTACATTTTTTCTTGATAATACTTAGTTATGTTAATGCAAGTCCAGTTCTCAATCGCTGTAGTATGATAGAAAGCTATGAGAATAGATGTTGACTGTGTAGACATTGTTTTTTTTTATATGAGTTTAAGAAAATTTTCGATTCCAAATTATTTATTTGTTGTGATTAACCTGATTTTATCACATGGTAAAACTGATTTTAACATTTAGAGTTTTTATTATACTGGTATAATAGAAATGGTAGTATAATACCAGGTATAATACTGTATAATACTGTATAATACGATATAACCAATGTTTTGCTTCTATATACATGTTTAAATCGGAAATCTTCGTGTTCTCAACCAAATACTAAATTGTTTTTAATTATGGTTAGAGCATAGTGGAGAATATTTAGTGGTGATACAAAAGTTATATCAACAATTGCACTTTTTGATTCACTCCTAAGCTATTTATCAAAACCGTAACTTTGAAAATTCTTGTCTGTTCGCATGCATGTTTAAATTTGTAATTTAGTACTAGGCTAATGCATAGCATTGTGTGGCCGGAGCACATGACAAGTATCATATAACACAAACGTATAAGCATGCATATTTTTTGTTGCACTAAATTACAAATTTGAATACACGTGTGGACAGACAAAAAATTTCCAAATTACATTTCTGATGTAATATTTATATAGCTGTATCAAAAAAGCAAATCCTAGTGGCTTAATACATCAAAAAAGTAAAATTTGTATCACCAAGCGTAAACACTAAATATCTGTCACTATGCTCTGGCCAACTACAAAAAAATATCATGCTTATACATTTGTATTGTATGATAATTGTCATATGCTCCGGACACACATTAGCCTAACCTGGTTGTTATATAAGAATTAACTAATCTAATATTAATACTAAAGTTATATGATATTTCAAACTAAATTAGGAATAGATGTAAGCTTATTAATTTAGAAAGTATTAAAAAATTCCAATACAGAATAGTTATATAAGTTTTGAATTCAGATAAATCAATATCGATATACAACTTAATTATATACTATATATATATATTGCTATAAGATGCTATAATTTTTTTAAATATTAAGGTGACCACTTAGGCCCTTGGCACTTTATTAGTACAAGCGGTAGGCCAATGTTAATTTTA